CTTAGAGGTGAAGCAATTTTTTTTTTTTCCCCTACGACATGCTCTTAGCTACAGTACACCTTGGGTTCACCGCAGTCTCTTAGGCCTGTTTACTCAAAGGGCATGAACTGAAACCTTGGTATGACTAGGAGGGCTGTGAACAAATAGAAGGTCTTCATGTGACAGATAGCAGAAGCATCTACTTGGTAGATGTGTTCAGTTTATACATATAGGGAGTTGTAACAGCATGAGAAATTCCTTTCATTAACCTATGTTTTGTCATTTAGAAAATTAACTTTTAATGTGTGTCATGTCATTTAAACAGAAGCAGAGATGGCATAGAACAGACTGCACAGCCATCTCAAATAGTTTCAGTGAGTGAATATCTAGGTTTGTGCATTAGATCTGGGTAGGCTCATTATAAATATTTCAACATGAAGTCAATCAATTTGAATAATCAAAGTACCTCACTAAATGCTGAATGCATAAATCTCTCCTCAAAAGAACAAATGCAAAACACACAAAATGCTAAGTGCCAAATGGAGATGATTTAATGGCCGCTTTAAGCATTTGATGGTGGGTTATGCAGCAGCTTTCAACAATTACATTTTAAATCACTGAACGTCCTAATTTATCTCAGTAAGAGCTTTACCATTCACTAACCTCTTGGGAATGGGGACAGGGAAAAGAAAATGCCTTAGTATTCACTAATGAGCGTCTCTATGGGAGATGTCCCACATACTAGCAAGTCGTTTTCCAGGAATTGTCTTCCTGGACCAGTCAAAAATGTTGTATCTGAAACAAAGGAACGCTGTGTGTATTATGTCTAAAATGGAAGAAAGAAACAACCTGAAGCAAGTATCCATTGGAAGGAAGGGATAAAGGCTTTAAATATGGGATGTATACTACACCATAGCTAAGAAGAGGGTTTTTTCCCCGCAATGCTGTAACACATTTTATGCAAGTTTAAATTTGTCTTAGCTTTTACTGTCATCTTGCACACTAAATGAAACATTAATTTACTAAACTTAAAGCTTACAGTGTGCTTAGTAAATCCAAACACTTACAGCCCTGTAAGAGGGGGCTGCCGTATCCTTACACCCAGCCTTTCTGACCGAGTGAGACAGCGTTTACTGGGTTTACCTGTAATTGTCAATACTATAGTTTTCCATAAAAAAAGAAATGCCGGTTTGTCTATTGATTTGTTTTACAGTTCTTGAAAGTCTTACTGAAAAGTACAGAGTTTTAAATAGCAACAAAATGTTGGATTGACCAGTTTGGCCACAAATTGAATACTGGAGCCTAAATACTGGTAGGAACCACTACCTCTGTCACACCTTTACAGTACTTAAAAACCAACCTCAATCTCACTGTGCTAATAAGGCTTAGAGCTCCTTTCTTTTTCAGTTTTACTTTGTATGGCTGTATGGAACTGTGTATAGCTATTCATGAACTTAACCAATCCAAAAATTAGTAGCTTGAGGCTTGACAAAAACAATAGCTATTCGTTTTAAAATTTCACTAAGTAATCTAGTTATATGAAAAATTGCAAAAGAGAATGTATGGAAACAAAAACAATTTTGTGCAAAGAAATTTTATAAGATGTTCAATTTGAAATGTATCTTTTCTGAACAGAATTACATATTTCCAACTGAAAAGGAATTAGTGACAAATTGTTCCCTTCATAAAGGAGAATTTTTTCAGAAGCGTTGGCTGATACTTACTCAGTTAAATATACAGAAAAGACTGGTGCCTTTAGCTGTTTTATTTTAATTTATGCAGGACTGAGGGAGGGAAGCGTGAAAAATGCTGCTTGATTTATGTGGCCGTTTGTGTTTAGGGGGTTGAATGTTTCAGTTGGATTTTGCATTAGTAGCCTGCTTGGCATCATTTAAATAAAGTGGGAAGGGCAAGCAAAGTTGAGTGTGCTGAACAGATTTGTAGACAAATGGTTTTTCCCCTCTTCACACTACTTTAAATTGGAAAAAAAAGGTTGTCTAGCATTTTCTTCATGGGCAAGGCAGGGTGGGGGAGTGAACAAAAACTCACAAAAGTCCTGTTCTGGCAGGAGGCAGAGGAAGCCAGCAGTGCCACAGACTTGAGGATCGCTCTGGCTCTAAGTGAACACTTCCTTACGACAGAATTTAAACAGGATAATCCCACTTGTTAAGCTATTTGGTTTACTGACCGTGAAAGTTAAATGAATAGATTGCCTAATGTATGAGTGCCTTACTTAATGTGCTAATAGCAGCGTAATGGTATTGTAAAGAGGAACTTGCATTTGGCATCGTGTAATGGTGCCTGGCTCGCACTTGTGCTCTGCAGAATATTCCTTCATTTAGCCTGGTTCTAATTTTGTGCTTGTCTGTCTGCTCCTCGGAGATTCTGGGCATTTGTTAACAGAGCAGATACTTGTTCATCTCTGAAAACAGCAGGAAGCGTCCGTATAAAAGGCATTATGTTGGAGTTAATCAATCGGATTCTATTCTGATTTTTAACTTGTAAATTAAGTGGCAGCACCTCACAAGTGAATTAAAATTCCCTTTCCCACATCCACTGATAAATAAGGAACTTTTAAATTCCAGTATGGGCAGTTGGGTGTTTATTATAGTCAAGTGGGAAGAGAGTGGCTAAGTACAACTTCTTTTTTGTTAAATGGCAAATAGCGTTTTGGTGCTCATTAAACTCTGCATCTCCTGATTTTGATCATTTTCAAAGTGTGAGACACAGTGAGTGCAAAAACAGATCATAATTTTGCATATGTAGCAAGGGGATTGGTTTGGGTTTTTTGGAAGGGTGACATTTCTTCTTCGTTTGCTCTCCCCTAATCAACTTCGAGGTGCTAGGATGTATCTGTTTCTAGTTCCAGCTTTTTGTCTGTATTACTGCAATGCTGACTGAAATTAGAACAGGAGAAATAACTTAGCGGGAATTAAATCATGCTCCAGCAACTTGGTTTTGACAGTGACACACTTCTACTTGAGCGCTGTGGCTTGGATAGTACTATTTTCTCACTTTCCCCGGTAGGAAGTAAAACAAGTAATTTTATTTTCAGTTAAATGCTGTAGCAGAATAAAGTACAGAGGACGTTTTAATCTGTCTAATAATTAGAAACTCGATTTGTTCTTGCCTTGGAAAAACACAGTTAGATAACGCTCTGGGAATGGCACAGTTTCAGTTTGGTAAGAAGGTTCATGAACTGTAAGTCAAAGCTTAAAAAAACCCACCTCTCTGTAGCAACATAGTAAATTCTAAATTGTAATATGCTAACTTCTGATGTTTCATTATTTTTTTTTTAATCTAGGTAAGTTATTGTTGCTAGAAATCCATTGTCTAGACCATTCCTGCAAGTTACTGAGGCAAAGTAGTAATTCTCATTTTGTCACAAAGCAGCAAATATATAAAATATATGAATTATCTCCAAAGCGAAGACAAGCAATCTGGGTTTTCCATGAGATCTTTTTTGCCCTCTTCAAGGCAAGTGGGAGAGGGCAAGTTCAATGTTCTTTTTCTGTAACATGTTGCTAGCCTGAAAAAAAAAATTTTTTTCTGTATGAAAGTAACATTTTTCTGTAAATGTAGGTGCTAATCCATTGACATAGACGCTTTGTGCTAAAAATGTGGGATAAAGAAAGAAAAAAAACAATAGCAAACATTTGCAACAATTAGCCAGTACCATAAAACAAAAGACAATTGTGTTGGATTTTGTTTTGTTTTTTTCTATGTAACTTAACAGTGGAAGTGAAGTGGAAATGCTGTTTAAAAAAAAAAACCACTGGAGAGTGTAAAACTGAAGTCCCTTCTCCGTCCATTTGTACTAAGATTTTTAAAGCTTAAAAAGTTTATGCAGTGGAATACATGTTCAAACCAACATTTAGGTCATGCGCAATTCTCTGTGTTTGTATTCTTGTTCTTAATTCTCTTGATGCACTATTAAAATGTGTTCAGATGCTGATCCTTATTATATGAAGCCTGAGATTTTAAAAGGCACGTAGGTAAGAGTGTCCAGTTCCCATTGACTTTGTATGATTTTGTTGACAGGTTCCATAGGCCTTTTAAAAAAAATCCTTCCCAGAGAAGCTAGTTCCTGCATGCTAATGTTGGTTTCTTGTTAACAGCTTGTCTGAAAAAACAAATGGATACAGATGAAGTTTCATAGGGTGATCTGAAGATTAGGTTTTGCTAGAGAATGCTAAAGAGCAGATTTGCTCATGTTTCTAAAGACAGACGTGTTTAGAAGGGCTTAATGAAACTCCAGAGTAAAGTAAAGATAAAATAGTCAACTAACTTCTTGAGATATTTCTACTATATGTCTTTTAGAGCCTA